CGTCTACGGTTCAACTTTGGAAATGATCATTTAAACAATGTACCCCGGACTAGGTGCGTTCCAATAAGTCTTCCAACCAATATAACCATGTTGCGAAAACAAGGTCAAATAACTTCTAATTACCATTTTGTTTATTATTTTCACGATCGGCATGCCGTTTTTGTATGATCTCTATTGTCTGTCCGTTGCCGAGAAACATCCAATCAAGTTATTCAATTCTTTATCACTAAACTCCTAGACTTCTGATAATTCTGCTCTTCACTTACCTCATCGTCAGTCTGTAGTTGTGATGAGATTGGACAAGGTGGATTATTTCTGTATGCGATTTCTCTCCATTGTCTCTTTGGAATGAATGACTTCGAGATCAAGCAAAGGTAGACCATCATCCTCCCTCGCCTTCATTATGATTTTGTTTTTTTTAACAAACTGGTGCCTAAAAATAATTACTTCACACGGCTAGCTGGACTTTCCCACAATGATACGAGTTGATCGAACGTTTCCATTTAAGTTTATATAGTCTTACTTCCCAAAAGGAATTCTTGTCCTATCTGGACTGGACGACAGTTTCGGCCTCGCCTTGGTTTCAATAGTTCCCCTAGGGGGACTCGAACCCGGGGCTCAGTTAAATGAATGTGGAAAATTCAACTATGCAATCTGGTTTGAATTAAGTCATTATTCAAGAGATTCATATACTCTTGAAACCTAGACCATACGAATATATGCATTCATTAACTGTGCGCCGTTTGTTCTGCACCTTTTAATCATTTTTATTTGCTCATATGAAGCAATTCATAGTAATTCAGGGCATTTGATAATCTACACTCTGCCTGTTTTTGCTTTAATCAAATTGACTTGGCCTGTTTGTCTCCTATTCCAAGCGTATAGTTGAATCTCAACCTTAGGGGCTGGTTTTGCGTTCATTCTTAATGGCAACTTCAAGTGCACTTTTTTTAGCATGCCTTTATATCGCAGCCATGAATACCAAATTGGTGTTGCTTTAAGTTTGGTCGAGTCGACCTTTCAAAGTGACAAGTTGTTACTCTGTGATGACAATTCTGACGAAACGTCTTGTAGCATACAGAATCAACGGTCCGATGCTTGGAATTATCATAAATTCTATGGGCAAGGAAGCAGGACTTGCTATACTCCGCATAGTATCTCACATGCTCCCATCTAATTGAGAAGACGAGGTCAGATCACCACAAGCCATTTTAATGTATCAGTTATCATCAAGGTTGGTTCTTTCCAGAATAAAGTTTTTCCAAAATAAATTAAAAAGTCCTCAAGATGCCACTGAATTTCACATAGTCTTGTCTCCAAAAACTGTGACTCAATTTTCGTTTATAAGCAGAGTTTCGAGACTACCGGTAAATCAGTAATTTGAGATGTATACAGCCTATTTCTTTCTAAGGTGATATTAGTAGAGCTGACGTTTCCATTGAATGTACAGCCTTGCTTGCCAAGAGGAAGCAAAGTTGTCTCGAAAACCTATTTATAAACAAAAAATAAGTATCGTAGTCGATTTCTATGGCAAATGCCACGTCGTTTCATCGAAACTCCCATCACAAAATGTGACATTGGAAGATGTATGACCTTTCTATTCATTCATATCTGCTCTATGACCCAATGACACTCGCGACAATGTTTCGCAGTTGTAAATGTGTCAAGAGTATACGCTAGTATGTCATGGTTAGAGTCCCACTATGGGTGCTGATAAGACCTAGGCTAGGTCGAAACTGCATTCCACCGTCTATAAAAAAGGCTTTAGGGAATGCAATGCTACGTGAAATTAAATGGAAAAGTCAGCTCTACTCATGTCATTGTTAAGAAAGTTCAACTACCAGTGCTCCATCACCTAAACGAAGTAAGGTGAACACGTCTCATATATTTGATAAAATTACTCCTTATACAGACACATCAGCCAAGTCACAAAACAATCAATATTTGGGTCATCATATCTTTGGTTAATATTGTCAACCTAGAACAAAACAGAAAATAGAACCAAATATGGTTATAAAAGGTCAGTCGAACAAAACTAAACTCTTTTAATGGAAATATTGGCCGAGACTAACAATAAGGACTTAAATGCG